TCAAATACTTCACCTTGTCTCACTAGCTGAGTTGTAAGTCCCTATAGGATAAACTGGCCCGTCGTTCTCTGTGCACCTTCCAGAGACTCACCCAGCACTGCCTTTGCTGCCTCAGAGCTGCTGTCCCCTTTGTGGTGTCACTAGCCCGCCTATCTCTGTGGCCCTTTGCTTAGGCATGGGGAGACTGCCATGGGGCTTCAGTCTGTTCAGTAAGGGCAGTGGTCTCTGCTAGTGACAGGTAAATGGCACCCAGCCAAAAAATCTTCAAGTTTTTTAAGTGACTGCTTTTTTTGGATAAGCTAGCACATCAGGTCCTTCCTGGGCTTAATGGGGGCAGGTGGGAGAAGTCAAAGCTGGGAGCACTGGGAAGGTGTGTCTCAGAGGCAGACTGAAGCTCAGGAGGCCCATGGACTGTTGGACATGGTAATGGCTTGAAGGACAGTTGTGTGAACAATCAGTGCTTACACTGCGACTTCACAAATAGGTGGTAAATTGTCAGAACTGAATGTAGCAGAGTACTTACCATCCTCTACCAGTGAAGTTTATTTCACCCATAACCTCTGATTTTAAGCTTAATAGCCCATGATTTTCTTCCTTCTAGTTCTTGCCATTCAGAAGGGTCACCAGACTGATTTCAGACCACTACACTCTTCCAGATGTGCTCTGACTGCTTGTGCATGTATGGGGTATCATTTTTCCTGACTCCGCAGTGTGGGGAGTTCTCCTTTATGGCGAAAATAGCAATTTTGTCACACTTGACTTCAGAGTGTAAGTTTGAGTGATACAGCAGGTTTATCTTCCTTTGCCTATGAGAATGCTGGTTTTTCCCATTTTTTTTCCCCTAAGAAGTTGGGAGTTTCCTTGCCAAAGCGCATGTTTGATTACCATATCTCTCTTGAAGGTCTGGGGCTGCTCTCATAAATGTGATGTGAAGGAAAAACCTGGCAGCTCCTTTGTAGCCTGCGATTTAGCATATTTAAGTCAGTGCCAGAGGGGCAGGTTCTGTGGTTGCCCCACCCTCATGCTGAGAGTTACTCACAATAGGGAAAAATTTATAAGGACAGCAATCTAGTCCAGGTGGCTCCTTTCTGGTGCTTAGCTTCCGCCTCCCCTTCACTCCCGCTCTGTCAGGCACGTACTCCCTAAACTTACTCCCCCTTGCTTGCTCATTTTCTGTGCACGTAGAAATGTTGCAGATACGGAAGGAGAAAGTTATATAGTGCTCCCCTTGCCTTTGTTCGGGGCTCAGACCTTGGATGATTACTTCCCTCTGAGCCCTCCAGCATAAAATAAACCTCAACACTCCAAGACTTCTGAGTGCCGCTTGGTTCTTCCGTCAGTGATCCAGTCCAGGTTTTTCCAGTATTTTCTGTAACACCCAGAGTAATTTGCCCTCAGACTAGGCCTGTACAAGTCAGCCCATCCCTTGCACCTGGCGTAGAGTTTTATTATTGCACTCTTTAGTTATGAATATAAATCTGGGTTAAAACTGGAGAAAATGCAAACCAGCATATTGTTCAGTGCTTTTCTTAAGTAATGTCCTGGCAGTTCATACAACTGTCACCCTCTAACATGTAAAACGTGTATAAACACCTAGGCATGTTTTCAGGTAAACATTAGCAGAGACATTAGTCTCTGTTTTTCTGAGCAGTTTTGCATACTCTTGTGTCCAGAAGCAGAGACTTCTTGGGTTTTTCTTTGTGTGGAAACTCCCTGGTTATCTCATATTGGGTCTAGATCCTAAAATCTAAGTCCCAGGGAGAACTTGAGGAGGCTTATGTGAACCTAGTGCTATGGGCTCTGGATGTCTGTCTGCATCAGCCTTCGCCTCCCTCCCAGGGACTTTGCTGGTCTCTGTCCTTCTTGGGCGTTTGAGGCCTGAGGAAGGTCTGGGCTGCCAGGGCTAGCAGAGTTCCAGCTGGGACCAGAGTTCTGGTCCATGCTCTGTTACCTTCCTTCCAGACACTCCCTCTCTCTCGGCCTCACATTCCATGTTCGTGAATGTCATGTCCAGTTCTGATCTTGAAGGTGCCTCTGAGTTCTTCATGACTTGCTGTGTGTCATTGAGCCTGTCACCCACTCAGGAAGCCCCCAGGGACAAGAGTGAGCATTATGATCAGACTCAGAGTTCTGACTTGGCCATAAAGGATGATCTCTTCCTCCTGTCACACTGGTGGGGCAGTGTGGAACATGGCTGCTGCTGCTTGGTTTCTCAGAACACACAGTTAACCTCTCCTTTCCCCCATGGCCTATTCATACAAGGAAGTGTGTGGTTTCCAGATGTGGTAGCTGCACATAGGATGAAGGCACCTCCACTCAGGGGCCCCTCTGAGCTGATCATTTTCTGTCATGGGTTCCTCAGCAAAAGTGGACAGTTTTCGGGGGGTGGACCTGTCTTGACAGCTCTGTGTTTACTTCCAGGATGGGTCCCACAGCCACAGCCATAGCCATCTCCTGGGAACACCAGCACGTGGGAGAAATAATGGTCCCTGCACCTAGAGGATAATAAAGGCTCAGATCATTTTTCCTAAGTCATTTTGAAAAACAAGTGTTTTAAATGCAAAGTAATAAAAACATGCTCAATCAAGAAAATTTAGAAAACAAAAGAAAAAAATCACCATTGTGTTATTCAGATGTCACAAAATCCTGGTATATATTCTTGTAATAGGATTTCTGTACCTATATGCAAGTTTCCCCCAAAATGATATTATGCTGCTTTCTTCACCTAATGACATAAGTTATTTCTGCTTCCATGTGAATAAAATACTCCTCATGTGGTTTTTAATGGTAGCCTAGCATTCTGCCATCTAGGTGTGCTGTTATTTACTACAACAGATGCCCTATTATTGGAAGCCTCTCAGAATCTGTGACGTCCACTGCCTTAGCTGTTTTGATGGCTTATGAACATTACAGCTTGAAATTTCAATCTCCAGGTAGTCAGGGATTGTTCTGAAGAACATTCTGAAATTTAAAATCAGTAGGATCTCAATTTCTTAAGAAATGGCAGGCAGCCTTGAGTTATTTTAATTTGACTCTTGGCTTCAAACAGAAAAGCTTTACCCTTTTTGCTTGTGGTGTTTTACAAACCCCTACTGATAATTTAAAGAGTAAAGTGTTTCTTAAAACTGTTCTGGTAGATGAGTCCAAATTGGGTCTTAAGGGAATAATAAAACAAGCATTTTTGGTATTGACACTGTGTGAGGCTAAGGGGTGGAGTTCTTGGTGTTGCCCCGCTGGCATGAAGCACTGCAAGTAAGTTACTTTTCAACTGATACTTTTCAGTGGGGACTGTGGGTAAAGGTTTTTGGTAGTCAGCAGTATCTGTTATGGTTGGGATTACATATGTGCCCTCATTTTTCATATTCCCAAGTAAACACACACAAAAAATTTAGTAGCATATTTGTTATTTAACCTTTTTATAACAAAAACCTAGTTGAGCAGTAAACCCACTCATAAAAACTCATTTTCACCAGGAAATTTCTGGCTAAATTTTATTTAGTTCAAATGGGATCAAGTTTGAGAAATTAGGTGTCTGTTTTGTCTCTCTCTCTCTCCTTCTGGCAAACCCCGTAATGCCTTTAGCTGAGAAACTACTGTACTATATGTAATTGTAATAGTTGTCACAGAAGAAGGACCACATAATTGAGATAGCATTTAAGATTCAATAGAGGTTTCTTTAATCAAGCACCCAGTGAGAGGTCAGGAGCTGTAGTAAACTATTAGCTGATGTAAGAGAAAATTGTTTCACTTCAAAAGCTTGCTGAGGGTACATCTCTGTGGGTAAGTGATTAGGTGTTGCCTCCAGTGTATAATATGACCATCCTTGTTTTTTATCTTTGACGATTACTGTTAATGCTCGAAAAAAAAAATCCTCTTTTTTTATTGGTGTTGATTAGGTTTCTTCGCAAATTTGTTGAAATAATTGTGATCTCAAAATAGTTTTCATTCTGATGCTGGAAGCTCATTTGAAGACCATTCTGACTTCCCAATAATTTTGATCTTCTCTGTTCCCTCCCCTAACTGTTCTTTTGTTTTCCTCAACTACTCTTTCTCTGTGGAATCAATTTTATTTTTTTAACTGGAAAAACTCTTCTTTGAGGGGATTCTAATTTGTTTAAACCCTACTGGCAAGCCTCTAGCCCTTGGAGATTGTTCTAAGGCAGGGATTACAAAATCAAATGCCCACAGGGGTAGGAAGGCCCAAAGGTGAGGAGCAGTGGATGAGTAGCAGGGAGCCAAGGGGGGGGTGACACTTTGGCACCGTCTTTGTTCCTATTTGGAGGGGCCGCCACCATGCTCCAGCCACTCGTGACCACTGGTGGTGCCAAATGATTTAGCTTCCTCCAAAAAAGATGGAAGTATGGAATTTTTTCTTTGTGGTATGTGTTTGAAATACAAAAATAATTGTATGTTGGACAAATGTAAAAAAAGAAAATGTGTGGATCAAATAAAGTACATCCATGGCCCAGGTTACGCCCACCGATGGCCAGTTTCAGCCTTTGCTCCAAAGGAAAAATTTTGTCTTTTCAGAAAATTACAATTGTAATTTAAGTAGCTCTTGTGTATGCTGATTGGGCCTAACAGCTGAGACACACTATTTTAATCACCTTTAACTGGGAAATCCCACTCCTTCAAATGTATACACAGAGCTTAGATGAGTCAATTGTAACACGTAATTCACCTTAACTGCATGTTATAACTTTGTCCTGCTATTTTGTAGTATCCTGGGTGCAAAGCAGACTTTTAAAAAGAATATGGAGTTTTAGGCTAATAGATCTCCTGCCAAGTGTCTAATTTTTATGTATGACTTTCTTAGATTTCTAAATAGTAGTGTTCTCAAATGAACCCAGAAGAATCCATTAACACAATAAGTACATTTTTTTCCAGAATCCGTGAATGCACTAATCTATTTAAAGTTGAAAACCTGAAAATCAATCATGACTCCCCTTAGTTACTAAATGGATATTCATGTATTTTCTTTTTTTTTTTTTTCTTTAAAGATTTGAACATGGAATTCAACCCTTCAGACCATCCTCGGGCCAGCACAATATTCCTCAGTAAATCTCAAACAGACGGTAGGTTACTGATTTATGTTTTTTAAAAAAACAAAAACAAATGCGGCTCATGTTGGTAACACCTAAGTCTTGATTTTCCACTGGATATTCTCAAAGTAAAAACAGAATCCCCTTTAGGGCTCCCCAAGTATATTGTTTGATGGTAGTTGTCTTGGGGTTTCTTTTTTTCTTTTTTTCTTTTTTTTTTTTTATTAAGTTATGTTTTAAAAATCTATTTGAAGCACCTATCCTCATCTTGCCAATCAGCTGGATTATTTTCTTGTGCATTCCGTAGCAGTAGTTTTACTTTGAGAGTCTGAAATTTCCCTTTAAAAACTGTTATTTGTATAAATTTTCTAAGATTAAAAGTATTTGTTTTTTAAGACAATATGTAAAGAAACCTGAAAATAAATCCTTAAATAAGAGCAACATTATCTCTCTTGTGTCATTTGAGAACTGAATTGAACCTGTGCACTAGGGGCCAGATGTTTTCTTCTTGCCAAACTTTCATTAAGCAGTTTATTCTGTGATTTTTGTGGTTAGTCCCAAGTGTTTGTGGAATTTCTTCTTGGGGTTTTTCTTCCTTTTTAGCTCCTGGCTTTATTATCTACCTGTTGCATTGCCCTTAGCTATAGAGGGCAGAAAAACTAATGTAATACAGTGAACAGGAATCCTCTCAGTTGGCTTCCTGTAGAAAAATGGCAGAAGTTTGTACCTGTAGAAGAGCGGCAGGAGAAGTGACAGGCAGTGCCCAGGCTGTTACATTACACTGCAGGAGTCCTCTGGACTCTGTCCCAGACTGCTTGGGCACGTTGCTAAGCTCTAATTTAGGGAAGATCCGAACTTAACTAGAAAATAACAAAACATGCTTAAGACAGTAAGTTCATTTATAGGAACTGATAACTTGAGTAGTGGTTAGTAACAGTTTTGACATGGTATAATGCTGCTGTAACATTGCTGACCTTTAAGACTTGATTTGAAAGAATTTGGTGTTTAGAAAAAAATCAGTGTTTCTAAGAGTAAGATTAAATCGTTGTAGGCATCAAATACTTGTGACCTAAGTTTTGAATGGATTGGTGAGAATAAAAGATTTTTTTCTTGACCTGGTAAAGTGGGAAGCCATTGGAAAGCTAAGACATTGCAGGGGAAGGAAGTGACAGTGGGCATCAGGTCTGGGGCAGTGAAAAATGAGAATCAAAAACAATTTTTTTGTACTTAATGCTGTGAAAGAAGTTACAAGGTTTTCAGATAGTAAATAAAGAAAATGGTGTACTTTCAGGTCTGGTTCTTGTTTTCTGTGAATCCAGGCCACAGATCAGCATCATTTAGAAAATTTTCCAACTAGAGTCGCACATAATTCCCATTAAGTTGGGATGACACATACGTTGATTGGCATGGTGAAAGGTCTGACATAACAGAAGGATTGCTCCAGAGATAAGGTGGGGAGGTATATTTTCCTCCTTCCCCTTTACTCCAGAGCTCATTCCCCTTCCTCTTCTGGAGCTTCAGGGCATCCGTTACTCTGACCTTTCTGTTTATTGCTCAGTTTTTCTTTAAATGCTGGATCTTCCCATTCAGCATGTAAACTTACTTGAGTCTTGCAAGTTAAAGAAAGAAAAGGAGAAAAACCAGCACCCTCTCCCTGCAGCCACTGTACTTGGTCAAGTGAAAGCTGCTCCACCATCTACTTCTCTTCCCACTCCCACTCCCCCGGAATCTCCCACCCCCTAGCTGTGGGGAGCACACAGTAAGGGTGCTGGGGATGTTCTGCCTCCTTGGTGCTTGACTTCTCTCGTGGTGATTGCTGCCATTGACTATTCCTTGCTACTTAAAATTCCTTTTCTTTTGGCTTTTCTATCTTCAAGCAGGCCAATTTGCTGAAAACAGCTAATCAAGAATTGCTCTATAAATAATTAAGAGAAATAGGTTTTAAAAATAGGTAAATTTGGTAACTTTAATGAGTCAATTCTCTAGTGAATTGATGATCAGAGAACTGGCTATTTGGGCAGTTGGTCCTGAGAAATACTTCTTTTCTTTGTGGTTCTTTTCAGAATCCTAATCAACATCTCCATTCACCCCTTTAATGTTAGTACTTTCTAGGGCTCTGTGCTTTATACCCTTTCATCTTTTGGGTTTGCTCACAGTTCTGTGGCTTCCATGCTAACTGTAATGTCCAGCAAGATTTTTCTCTGCCGTGTTCAAAACTCATATATCCAACTGCCTGCTGGACATCTTTACAATGAAGGCTGTAGGTTCCTCTAACTCATTGTGTCTCAAACAGAACTCTGTAACTGCAGTTAACCACTCCTCAACCCCCACCCTGCATTTCCTGCTTTGCCCAGGTACCCAGGCCAGGGAAGGTCTCAAATTTTCTAGGTCTTCCCTCATCCCAGGTCTCATATGCTGGCAGTGGTGCTGGACCTGGTTGTGCATGTTTCTTCCCAGTGCCAAGTTCAGTGACAGCAGGTTGGGAGTTTGTTTTTAATCATAGAAACTGGCAGATGCTCCAAAGCAGGGCATTCCTTTTCTCTTTTTTTAAAAAAAAGGCAGCTGTTAAACATTGACCAGCACACCATTGCATCCAGATAATCAAAGTTGTATTAATTTTTACCTTTTGAATATCCCGTGAGTCTGACTGTTTTCCCATGCCCATTGCTGTCACCCTGCTTCAGACTTTGAGTTCTCACTTGAGTTACTCCAGTGGCCTCTGGATTGCCCGTTGACTTTGTACCTTTCCAGTCCTGTGTCCATGCTGCTGCTCGGTGAGGAGAGTTTCTGTGTATCAGATCTGATCATGTAACTTCCTTGCTTAACACTTTTCTAATGGCTCCGCAGTTGCCTTAGGATAAAGATCCAGTGCCTTGGCATGGTATACCAGGCCCCTTGAATCACCCCTGCCTTCCTTCAGCCTGTCTGTGTGCTTCTGCTGTACCGGCAGTTCCCCTGGCTGCCCTCTGCCCTCATGTCCCTTTGCATTGACTGGACTTCCCCTTCCGTCTTCCACACAGCTCATTTCTTCAATCTTCAAGGCTCATTTCTACCATCATTTCCTCCTGGAAGGTGCCCTTGACCCCTCAGTCTGGGTAAGTGGGCCTTTGGTGGCTCCCACAGTAGCATGTGAGTGCTTTCTTCATAGTCTGAACCATGGTGTGGTATTTAAAACTGTCTGTTTGTCTGTGTCACCAGCTAACCCCTAGAGGTCAAGGGTTCCTCACAGGTGGGCTGCAGGTGAGAGGAAGGAGTTTGCCTAGCCTACCTTGGCTTTTCCTGCTCTCAGGTTTGCTGTAGGTGAAAATTGCAGTTCCTTGTGCCTTTCGCTTTTGATCTTCTTTATTTTCATTAGCATGGTTTTTAGGGTGCTTTACCTTAAAAAAGAGTTTAGGCAGAAGTAAAAACCTGTGTCTCAGTATGTGTAATCCGTGTATTCCTCAAGAATTCCTTGAAATAAGTAAAGAAATAAAAACGAATTTTCCCTTGAGTGACTTAAAGCCAAAGTAGAAATACTAAAATTGAGAAATAAAAATATGAGCCATGGTTTTCTTTGCACATTTTTTCAGGAATTCTGAAATTGAGAAAACATTTGTGGCCTTCTTTGTTTGTGGTCATGTTTTTGTTACTGGGCATCAGGAGAGGACCAGCCTTTCTATACTTCTTTTATCTGGCATTTAGAAGCAGTCAACCTGCCTTTGCTGCTGTCTTCCATCAGAGCGTCCCCATGACCTTTCTGTAACCACCTCCCCATCACCCCATCATTTTATCCCCTCCTGTAGGCGGTGTTCTAGGATGCCCCTGTCACCGCCTCCCTGTCAGTGTCCGTGTGTTTCCCCAGTGGCTTATCAGGTTCTTTAGGAAATACCTTAGCCTTAGCAATTAGATATTGAAGAATCCATAGGAGCCCAAAGCTATTATATCAGCGATTTTCATACTTTTTTCCCTTTGCTTGCATACCATAATACTTTTGAAAAACTGTGAATGCCCTCAAACATATATATATTGACTGTAAAAATTGTTTATCCTATCAAAGAAGTAATTTCTGATATAAACATTGATATTTTAAAACTCTCCTCTTTTTAAAAATGTTTCAAAAAAAATGTCAATACCATGATGATTTTATAATCTACCATCAATCATTTAAAAGTGTATGAGCATTTTCTTTAACAGTTGGAAATTTTGTATCATTTCTTTTTCATCCTGAACTTGGTAATTTCCTTGCTGCTTTCTCCATAGAATTTTATTCCAATTAATGTATTTTGGTTTCTATAAGGTATTTGTCACACTGTCATACTTCTGTCCTATGAAAATATCAGTCTAAATTTAATTTGTATTCCCCATAATTGTAACTCTAAATGTTAAAAAGAAATTCTGGATTCAGATATCATTATTATTATAATGTTAATAGTATAATTTTTTGGTTGATCAGAGCCCTCAGTTGATAAGAACAGCACAAACATTAAAATTTTACTGAGTAATTATCAAACAGAAAAGTAAAATAATTTTTAGAAAAACATTTCTTACTGAGATGCTTCTATGGGTGAATAGAATGCTTCTATGAGGTTGCTAGTCTTCATCAGATTCTTTGTGTATATATGTAAGCTGATGGGAAGAGAAGTTTTGTTATAGTAATACCAGTAAATTCTTTCTACTCCATCTCATTTTTATGTCAGAAAATTTCTAAAGGGTTTATCATTGAAAATAATTTCTAATAATTAGTCACACTTGAATCTTTCTCTCCATCAGCTTTGTTGACTGTGAGAGATTGGAATCCACTTGATTTACAAAACAATTCCTCACCTAGTTTTAGGGGCTTCTCACTTTTCTAATTTTTGGGAAGTGCCCCAGAACGCCTTACCAGACAGTCAAATGATTTTTAATTCTAGCCACTTTTGTTTTCATTTGGTGGCATGTGGTTTAACCTGATACATTCAGGAGCCTGGATAAAATAAATCTGGTTTATTTCAGAACACCTTCCCTGATTCCTTGGGCCCCTTTGCAGTCTGTATACCCTCTAAAGAAGTGTGGTC